ACGCTGTCCTCAGAGTGAGGAACGCTGTCCTCAGAGTGAGGAACGTTGTCCTCAGAGTGAGGAACGTTGTCCTCAGAGTGAGGAACGCTATCCTCAGAGTGAGGAACGCTGTCCTCAGAGTGAGGAACGCTGTCCTCATAGTGAGGAACGCTGTCCTCAGAGTGAGGAACGCAGTCCTCAGAGTGAGGAACGCTTTACTCAGAGTGAGGAACGATGTCCTCGGAGTGAGGAACGCTTTACTCAGAGTGAGGAACGCTGTCCTCAGAGTGAGGAACGCTGTCCTCAGAGTGAGGAACGCTGTCCTCAGAGTGAGGAACGCTTTACTCAGAGTGAGGAACGCTGTCCTCAGAGTGAGGAGCACGCCGGGTCAGCTCTTCCCAAAAATCGGCCATCTGATATAAACTTTTTCAATATATTTCGGATGGACATGAAACTTGCTACATCAATATAACTTTCCATTCCGAACAATCGTATGTTTTTATTTTTGAGATTTAACGGTTTTTGGCGGGAAAATGACGTCACGAAACCTCCAGTTAAAATTTACTTTTAATATCTTAATAGTTTTGTCGCAGAATTTGGAAGAACATGTCATGAACAGTTCAAAACTGAAAACGGATTTTAAATATCTAAACCTAATCCAAAGTTATTTCACTATAAAACCCGTGAAAAATCTAAAAATAGTAACAAAATGGTGGAAAATTCGATTCTAAACTCCCTGTATCTCGTGATTAGATTAAGATATTTAAAATCTCTTTTCAGTTTTGAACTGTTCATGACATGATCTTCCACATTCTGCTTAAAAACTATTAAGATATTGAAAATAAATTTTAACTGGAGGTTTCGTGACGTCATTTTCCCGCCAAAAACCGTTAAATCTCAAAAATAAAAAACATACGATTGTTCGGAATGGAAAGTTATATTGATGTAGCAAGGTTGATGTCCATCCGAAATATATTGAAAAAGTTTATATCAGATGGCCGATTTTTGGGAAGAGCTGACCCGGCGAGGAACGCTGTCCTCAGAGTGAGGAACGCTGTCCTCAGAGTGAGGAACGCTGTCCTCAGAGTGAGGAACGCTGTCCTCAGAGTGAGGAACGCTGTCCTCAGAGTGAGGAACGCTGTCCTCAGAGTGAGGAACGCCGTCCTCGGAGTGAGGAACGTTGTCCTCAGAGTGAGGAACGCAGTCCTCAGTGTGAGGAACGCTCTCCTCAGAGTGAGGAACGCTTTACCCAGACTCAGGAACGCTGTCCTCAGAGTGAGGAACGCTGTCCTCAGAGTGAGGAACGCTGTCCTCAGAGTGAGGAACGCTGTCCTCACAGTGAGGAACGCTGTCCTCGGAGTGAGGAACGCTGTCCTCAGAGTGAGGAACGCTGTCCTCAGAGTGAGGAACGCTTTACTCACAGTGAGGAACGCTTTACTCAGAGTGAGGAACGCTGTCCTCAGAGTGAGGAACGCTGTCCTCATAGTGAGGCACCCTGTCCTCAGAGTGAGGAACGCTGTTTTCCGAGTGAGGAACGCTGTGCTCAGAGTGAGGAACGCTGTACTCATAGTGAGGAACGCCGTCCTCAGAGTGATTAACGCTTTACTCAGAGTCAGGAACGCTGTCCTCAGAGTGAGGAACGCTGTCCTCAGAGTGAGGAACGCTGTCCTCAGGGTGAGGAACGCTTTCCTCAGAGTGAGGAACGCTGGCCTCAGAGTGAGGAATACTGTCCTCAGAGTGAGGAACGTTGTCCTCAGAGTGAGGAACGTTGTCCTCAGAGTGAGGAACGCTGTCCTCAGAGTGAGGAACGCTGTCCTCAGAGTGAGGAACGCTGTCCTCAGCGTGAGGAACGCTTCCTCAGAGTGAGGAACGTTGTCCTCAGAGTGAGGAACGTTGTCCTCAGAGTGAGGAACGCTGTCCTCAGAGTGAGGAACGCTGTCCTCAGAGTGAGGAACGCTGTCCTCACAGTGAGGAACGCTGTCCTTAGAGTGAGGAACGCTGTCCTCAGAGTGAGGAACGCTGTCCTCAGAGTGAGGAAAGCTTTACTCAGAGTTAGGAACGCTTTACTCAGAGTGAGGAACGCTTTCCTCAGAGTGAGGAACGCTGTCCTCAGAGTGAGGAACGCTGTCCTCAGAGTGAGGAACGCTGTCCTCAGAATGAGGAACGCTGTCCTCAGAGTGAGGAACGCTGTCCTCAGAGTGAGGAACGCTGACCTCAGAGTGAGGAACGCTAACCTCAGAGTGAGGAACGC